ATTTCCCTCTTGAATTATCGAGCTATCTTAAATACTAGGTTAATAGTAATGGACTAAAATGTATATATTTTTTTATACAACTTAGAATGGCAATCAAGCTGACGGCCGACCTGATGGAAAGTGGTAACGGTCGCCTATAGACATGAGCAGTACCATGGACATAACAGAGTATACTGTTTCGCCCATGATACCCCCCATGCGTTGCTATTCCTGAGGACTCAGGTGTTATTCCTCTGGACCCAGTAAATTCACGCCATATCCCACCCTTCAAGCTGAAACACAGCCATACAAATACAACTGCTTCACGGTAGAAACACTAATGGGACAGAGGTACCCAAGCAATCGACTTTTTGAGATGGCAACCGCAGTTTGACTTTAGAGATATTTTAAAAAGGTCAATTCTTACGACACCCAGGGGTGAAGAAAAAGGGGTGAAAAGAAGGGGTGGCCTATTCTATGCCGGGACCACACTTATTAAGTATATTAAGATATAATATATTTTATGTACATAATCACGCGAGTAAAATCGCGTGATACAACTAGACTATTTAATATATTGTACACAGAAAACATCCACACTAATACAAATGTACTATTAAATATAAATGTTTGTATTGCTCAGGAATCGAACCGGTAGTCATCGAAAGGTGACGTGTATAAACCTCTACACCACAAAGGTCAATATATATGATGACGTATATTCTTGCAGCAAATTCTCTCGAGGCCGTTGCAATAACGAAGAGTTACCGCGGTGTTGATTTTAACATAATGAGCTGAATAATTTCCAAACAGCACCTTAATTTATATGAGACACACGGCTTATAAAAAACAACCACTTATTTCTTCCGTAATTATATTTTTTTAAAATTGTCATTTTCAGCAGAGAATAATGTAGTACATTTATTATATCAATTTCAGAGACTATATTTCTGTTGTCATACCATATTTTTTGCAGTTTATAGTATAACATTGTTTTATCTTTTTTTTTATACTACTTAGAATGGCAAATAAGCTGACGGCCCACCTGATGGAAAGTAGTAATCGTCGCCGATAGACATGAGCAGTACCATGGACATAACAGAGTATACTGTTTCGCCCATGATACCCCCCATGCGTTGCCATTCCTGAGGACTCAGATATTATTGCTCTGTACCCTGCTCTGTGTAGTAAATTCACGCTATATCTCACCCTTCAAACCGAAACACAGCCATGCAAACACAACTGCTTCACCGTTGAAACACGAATGGGACAGGGGTACCCAAGCAATCGACTTTTGTACAAAGTCTCCCTCTGGTGAGTCCCTTTATCTACGACAAATCTATACTATTATTATAAATATGTAGGTAAGTTTGTTTATTTCTTACCTCTTAGCACCTTAACGACTGCACCAATCACTATGAAATTTGATATATAAGGATTATATAGCGATGAAGATAGAAATAGACTACAATTTTGTCCTGGTCATTAAACATATCCCGGTCTCATAGATGAAGTCGTGGGTTCGCTAATTTATTATTACCATTATAATGAATTAAATTTTTCAAGATTTTGTTTAGCAAAAATCAATCAAAATATTTTTAAGCATTCAAATTAATTCAGAATCCATATAAATAAAAAATACAAAGTTAACGTTAACACTCTCTTCTTTATTCTTTCATTATTCTTTATTGTACACAAAATATAATGTTAAGCACAATTCTATTTATTTATTACACTATCTTCCATTTTGGAAACTTAAAAAAATAACTTATAATAAGAAAAAAAACTTGTTTTAAAATAATATGCATTATGTTCACTACACCATACAGCCGTATGTCACAGTGTTTTTTATATGAAACTGTGACCATTTTTTAAAAAACGATTATCATGATTTTTATTACTTTTTAATAAGGCATCGCTGGGTTTATACCGCACATATATCCTTAGGCTATTGCACATTATAATTTCAATGTTTATATAATATTTGTAGTGTATTATAACTACTAGAATATTTGTATTAATGGTTGAAGATATCTTAAAAACAGAATGTTATTACTGATTCATCACCATATCATCTCCCCGAATGGGGGGGTTGCCAATAGTTGCTATGCTTGGCAAGCCGATTGGCAACTGCAGTTAGGTTTTGGTGATGTTTTAAAGGAACACTGCTGTCCATACCTTGACCATTAAGTTCCCTTAGTTGCTTCTTACGATATCTACAGGAAAAGAACTGATAAGCCAGTCTATGTCGGTATCATCACATGGGAGTACTTATTAATTTATGTTATATTTAACATATTATTTTTATTACAATAGTTTAAAATTATGTATATTATTTATGATCAAATAATTCTCTGATCTTATTGGAAATATAATTATAATAAAATCACTTTTTTAATAAAAAATAGAAATGTCAGTCATTTCTATTTATTTTTGTTGTTTGTTTGTTTCGTTTCTAAATATCTCATATACGTTATAATATATTCATAAGGGTGATGTGTTTCATATGTTCCTAATTCTGTCTTTTTTTTATAATATCCTTAATTCATTTGATTCGATCTTCAGCATACTGTCTCTTGATCGTTCTCTTCGTTAACTTCTGCTACAAATCTCCTTGTCAAAGAATCGTATGTTATCCATACTCCCACTATTTCATATAAAAGACATCAACGCGAATGAGTCACAAAAATTAAAAACGATGTATGTAAAAATAGCTATTATTTTAATAATTATATATTTGTACTTTAATTATTAAATCTTGTAAACTAAGTAAAGTTTGTTAAAACAATTTTAACTAAGAACAGGTTGGAGACAACCAATAGATGGCGCTGACAGTCAGCCACCTCATTCAATAATACTTAATATCTAACTGGTTTCGTGATTACATTTTTAAGGTGTTGTTCTTATCTTTTCTAGAATTATTATTACTACGATTTTGCTTAACATTCTATTGAAATATGCTTATATAATATTAGCGTAATTAATCAATGCTATTCACGTTATTTCTTGTTAAATGTATCATTAGTTAGAGACCTGATTTTGAATGCCCGGGGCAAAATAAATTCTAAACTCTACATGCTTAACAGTAGTTAAGTGCCAGGCAAGTGAAGCTGCGAGAAATAGCTAGTAATATACGCAAATTATAAAAGACACTTCAGAGCACTAACCTTGTAAATATACATACTCACTGATAAATTTGATTATTGATAAATTGATTGCAGTCACGTGAGTAGTTATTCAACTTTAATTTAAAATAAAAGGTATTTTAATATTCCATGTAATTGTAACTATGTTACATTTCCAAAAATATACCATATTATCCATTCTTTTATATATCTATGTACACTAAATTTACTGGTTAAATCCGGCATAAAATGGACTACTCCTTCCTTTTCCGTGGGTGTTGCAAGAAGCAACAAAGGGAACTTAATAGTCGAGGGATGGGCAGCTACCTCTCTTTTAAAACATCACCAAAGCCTAATTTTGTTGCCAACCTGCCTGTCAAGCATGGCAACTATTGGCAAAACTCTCCAATAAAAGAAGTTCTATATCATCAGCAGTAGACAGGTAACAGCTGATTTGATGATGACACCAAATTTCATGACAATTAGCTCGACATAAAATTTAACATACGCATAAACCATGCCCATATAGGGCATGGATACTTAGGTATCTTGTTATAAAATTTAAGTTACAATAATATTAAAAACGCACATATTTTTTATGCATTTTTCAAATTATCCCACTACTGGGAAAAAATCTTTACTATGCTTTTATGAATTCATAAAATTCACTAAACTACCTTAGTCGCCTCTTACGACACCTAACGGAAAGGAAGCGGTGACCTTTTCTAGCAGGACCTACACGGCAAAATTTTTTATATAGTCCATTTTAGTATAGTCCCTTCAAATACAAGAAAATCATCATCATCATGATTTCAACCTATCTGTCCACTGCTGGACATAAGCCATCTCTAATACTTTCCACCAATGCAGTGCTCCGCTATCCGCATTCATCCACTTTAATAATTTATAACAATATACCTACTCGTATACACTTAATTATACCCACTTTACAGTCATTAGACATATTAAAATAATGTAAAACAAAGAAACATTATAAATAACTTATTGTAATCCAATACATCCTCTACATTGTCTTGCGTCTGGGCAAATGACGAGAAAAACTTTTATTCGCACGCGTTGTGCTTCCTTACGACCCAATGATCAAGTAAAAGATTGATCGCTTCCACAAAGAAACTCGGGATCGAAACCAGTATGTTATATCTAGTTTTATGTAGTTTAACATATATCTGTAATTTTATAACAATAAATTAAATCTATACAAAATAGATATGAATCTGCTGTTGACTGTCTACTGCTGAACAAAGGCCTTCTTTATAAGGGGGATTTTGCTAGTAGTTGTCACACTTGGCAAGCGGGTCGGCAACCACAGTTAGGCTTTTGGTGATGTTTTAAAAATGACGCTGCTACCCATTCTATGTCGGGATCACACAGCAATATAATAAATTAAATTTACATAATACATTTTCATAAACACAATTGCACTATGCAGTTATTTAAAATTTTAGAAAAAAAACAATTATTAGCTACTAATTGGGTTCACGACAGGAGTAAATTCTTTAAACCAAAAAATCTGCGAAATCGTTTTAGCAATGGCAAAGGCATTAATATTATGTAACATACGCACGTTATATATACATTTAAATTGATAACCTTTCGAATTATTAGCTTTTTGAAGTTGATTGAAAATGTATGCATCCGAACTTGTACACGTAAAAATGGCGGGAAACGTCCCGCAAAGCCTTCTAAGGCTTTAGTAGCGGGCGCACAGGGCGGCGTCGCAATCGCGACTATATACGCGCTATCGTTCAGCGTGCGCACATCGGCGGTACCGTTAGACAGAGAGAGCGAAATGACGCCTTACGTGCGAGCAGAGCGGCGACACTGCGCCCGCGCCATCCGGAAGCCTCGCTGAAACTGGACCGTTTTCTTTTCTTGTTATTATTGAGATCGGCTCTCAAGTTCTGTTGTTGTCGCGCGGCGCGCCGCTCGCGCTGATAACGCGATGCCACGGCGACCTGCGCACGCGCACCGCGTAACGCTCCGCAGCTTTAAGCTCGCGCGGACATTGTAAAAAGTACTCACCCCCGTAAAGTGATGGAATGGATATTTCTATGGACCAGTGCTTATTGTCAGTAACAGAACAGGAACGACTATTTGTATTGTGTGATTTTTTCTTGGGTTTTAATATCGTATTTGGATATTGATAAGTGCTTGTACGAAAGTGAAAACGATATTCTGTGCTGATATTGTAACGAATTTGAGTTTATAAAAGGATACTTTTTAATGGACAATTGTAAATTGATCTGTGAGATAATACAATAAATTGATGAGATTTGGGCAGTTGGGATCAACTGAAGATTTTCTTCGTTTGCGTCGATACTGGTAGGTGATACATTTTCTATTTCAAAATTATAGTAACCTCGTAATGACAATAATACTATTTTTTATAAACGAATAAAAAATGCAGGATTATATTGATTATTTGTACAAAATTTGTGTTAAAATATTAAAATGTGCTCCACTTTTAGTTTATGAACTAATTAAGAGTCGTTTTGTCTGAGTAAAATTAATTATAATGATTAACTCAAATTCTTTATAATTATCAACATAAACCTTATTTTTATTAAATTAAATAAACGGCAATATTTTTATATTACTACGTTGTCAAACCAATTAAAAATTAAATAATAATTTAAACCAATTATTTCTGATCAATCGTAAATATACGCAAGAAATTAATATAACGTGTTAAAAATAGCCAGCGATTCATTTAAGTGCATTTTTATATAACAGTTCATTACATTAAATAAAATCACGTTTTATATTAACTACTTTATTAAAAACAACGATTTATTAACGATATATTTACAGCTTATCTTTTATTTATAAAATATATATTAGTTGATTCTACTATTATGTAAAAAAAAAATCTAAACACAATCCAATAATTAAGATCTAAACAAATATTTATAAGAAAAATGAATTATTTTTTTATTTATAAGGAAAGCAATATATTTATATCGTTACTTAACCTGTAGTAATACTTTAGGTAGTACATATGTGATATGTATATTAATTATATCCGTAGGTAGGTAATAAATACAAGATACGACTTAATTTAGATGTTACTAAAATAACACTGTTAAATTGTAATTAAATTTTATATTATTTCTTAAATTTATTATTTTTAATTCCCTATAATTATATCAGATACCTCAAATTAAATTTTTTATTGTTATACGAGTCATTATCCAGAATATACAAATAATAGATGATTTACAATAGTTCACTTTTTAAATTGTTCTAACAGAAAATCAAGCTTAGAATCTCATTTACGCAAACCAGAGTTCCTACTACTAAACTATGCTACTAAAGTCTATACTACTAGAGTCTAATTAGAGTATTAGAACTATAATTACAATATCTTCATTCGGAAAATTGCACTCCACATTAACAAATTATCGTTAACTGAGAATTTTCCGACGGCACATGATTTTTTAATCAAAAACCCTATATGAATAAAAAACACCAAAATAAAAGTGAAGGGCACAGTTTCACTAGTGTTTTCCTTCATTTTACAAAGTGATTAAGTGTAAAATTAAAAAAAAACATATCCGACCTAGTTAACCAGAAAGTGAGTTACGGTGAGGCGGCGCGCGCCGCCCGCCGTCGCGTTCTTTTTTGTTTGTCTCTATTGTGCCCAAACAGCGGTATACCGGGATGCAATTCTCAGTTAATAACCTTTTATAATGTTTGTTGATTATATCTAATAATATTAAATTTTGTCAAAAAACTAAGCTAGCTAAAAATTTACAGAAATTAATTGACGTACAACCTAGGCACACATGCAAATATGTTTATTTATTAGGTATTTGTAAAAGATTAATTCTTTAATAGCTATTATTTTTTTAACAAACGCATTTATTTAAAAATAAAAAGCTTGACAGACTTGACTATAGAAAAAAATATTTTTAGACATTGTAAATTATTTTTCCATAAATCAGCTGACATTTAATGATTATTAGAAAAGTAATATTAAATTATTTGTAACACATATTAGTTATGGTTCTTTTATGTTTGTAAATTATTATTGATTCTTTTTTTTTTTTTTTTTTTTTTTTTTTTTTTTTTTTTTTACCTATTGATATTGATGATCAAGCTGACGGCCCACCTGATGGAAAGTGGTACTGGAAGAGAACTGGACATGCAGAGTTAAGCTCTTTATTTGTACATTTGACTTCTACTGTCACGTTTCTATATGTTTTGTTAATGTTTACAATGAAGTGTAAATAAATATTAAATTTTGTTAATATAAAATTAAAATAATTATTTATTACTATTTGTGTAAAATACAACAATTTAATATACTCGTATTTAGTAAGGAAAATTAACCTCTTAACTAATGTATTTTAGGATACGCGATATCATTAATATTTTGGAATTTCTTTTTATATAAAATATTAAAATAAATATTTTTTTTACCGGATTACTTAATCATACTTCTTTAATATATTATCTGTAATTGTAACATAAAGTTTTGTAGGTATGTAAAATAAAAAAAAATACAAATCAAATTCCTTTTATTATTAAAAAATATTATAAATTTGAAAGTAAGTTTGTTTGTTTGTTTGTTATCTCTTAGCACCGTAACCATTAAACAATTATTATGAAATTTGGTATACACGTACTATACGAGATAAATAACATAATCGCTATAATAGATAGCAAATATATATTTCTGACTTTAATATCAAATGTAATAGAATTTATTTGATTCCAGCTGTAGTGGTAAATAAATTATGTCAATAAAAATATCTTATACATTAATAGTTATTAATACAAATATTTCAATATTATATATGATATTAAAATATCAATATTTACTAGTGTATACTATGATATTTGTACTACCTACGACATACATAGTAAGTTCATAAAATTCCCGTTCTGCATGAATGTCGATACCTACATAATATTTCCTAGAACACAAACAGGTAAAATTAAAATTATAGAATAATTTTACTGAACTTCAGTCATAATTAAAACAATAATTCTATATAATACCGCATTGTCTGCAGTAATATTCTTAATCCTTTTTATAAAAGTGAAAGTGAGTTTATTAGTTTGTCTGTTTATTACCTGTTAGTCCCTTAACAGCTTAACCAATCATCATGAAGTTTTGTATACACATGCTATGTGGGATATATTCACATACACATATTCGCATACGCGGACAAAGTCGCAGGTAAAAACTAGTACGTGATAAAGCAATGAACTGAACAGAGACATCTGAAATACGAAAAGAAAGTTTTAATTACAGTAGTAGTAAGTGCCTACTCGGCGAAACGTTTTGTAAAAATTATCGTTTTCAAATTAACATTTAAAATCCAACCGCAATTTACATACAAAATCTTATCTCTGTAATATTCTGTGTCAATTTATACCGATTTTAAATTCAATAGTCTCGTCTTAAATTTTCTCATTATTTACCATTATATATTATCGTGTATCGCTGCAAAAACCATGATTGAAACTGGGCCGCCGATTTTAATATGTGACCAGACAGAAAATGCGTTACCCACAATATATCGGCTCCTTAAAAGACAACCTAAATCACACGGCCACTAAAAAAAGGTAAAAACATATAAAAATAATTGCTGCAACCGAGTTCGCGCAACTGTTCTTATCTTACCCTTACATCATTCGAATAAATGAAGGTATAAAATCCGATGTTTACTTAAATGTACAATTGTATAGATGTGAGAGAAACTTTTTTTTTTATCTAAAATGTATTTTTTTGTCGGTACAAAATAATATTGACTTGAATATAATTATATTTCGCATGTAAATATTCATCGATGGATCAATTCGATACAGGATCGGAAGCGGACGCATTACGAATAAGCTCATATGTTCATTTACTATAATTATATATTAATGTACAATATGATAGTCTCGTTAATGTATATTGAAGTAAAATATTAAAGATACAAATACCAACTGCCCATTTGGTGACTTTGTCGCTTCATTTCTTACAACTTTATTGTCTACACACAAATTCGTGTACAGAATGAAATTACTTTTATTGGCAACATTAAAAACAGATTATCGCAACTTATTTAAGTGTACAACTTTTTTTTACTTGCAATACAAATTTCATCGAGACCACATTAGTTCGAGCTCGTTCTTCTCGAAAGTCGATCACGTCCAATTCTTGTTATTTCACACCGACCGCAGGTGAAGATTGCGTTCTTGGTGCATGAAAAAACGGACAACTGAAACGCTGTGTCATCTTTGAAAAGTGAAAAAAAAATAATTAGGCAATTTTACTTTCACTTCAAACTATGCCACAGTTATAGTTAGGTAAGAGACAGTATATACCACCAATTTAATATGACCAAGTAGCGACGTACCGGTTTTAATAATTTACATAGACACTTCAATGGAATTTTCACATGTTCAATCCGATGATAAGTATGTTGGAAATCTTGTTAACTGGTTCATGCAACGGTCGTAAATAATTTGTCACATAAATAACTACATAATTCCCAATAGAGGTGTATCTCGTAATATCAATTATATATTTTTATAAGTGTTATATAGAAATAGGCTACATACTTATCAACTAGTCTTTTCCATACTCATAAAAATATAATTAAGCCTCTTCAAGTTAGTTTTCCAATAACCGCTCGGTAATAAATTATGAAATATCTGAGAGATTAAAAATAATTGTAAATGAAAATTAGTTATATAATTATGTTCTTTTGAATAATGTTTTAAGCAAATGTTTACTTTAATAAGTAAATGTACTATTGAGTTGCTTGAAATGTTGAAATTGCCGTATTTTAGTCTTAATAATTTATATTTAAATGGTCATATATTAATATTAACAATATCATATATTAGGATTTGTTGCTTCGTTGGTCAGTGTGCTTAAGTTTTTATGTCGAGTTTTCCTGTGTTGATATATACTGCTTTATTTAAACTTAATTAATAACTTAATTACTAACTAATAACTTTATTTATATTTAATTACTAACTGTGTGCCGTAGCTTTGCTCACATGTATACAACCTACCCGTATACCAAATTTCATCAATATATGTTCAGTCATTTTAACGTAATGGAGTAACAAACATAATAACGTCCAAACATCCAAATATCTTTAAAAAATTTTACGTTTATAATATCTATTAGATATATAATTTTGTATTTATTTTTGTTGTAACTGTAGTTATAAAAGATAGCAAAAGTTTTGTCACTAGTTTTTTAAATATAACTTGAAAATAATATTGAACGCATTTCAATAGTTTCACATACTGATTAATTGATCTTGTTCTGATCCTGTACATTTCATAGTATATAATATAAAATGTAGATATA